CGTCGGAAAACATCACACTAGCCCACTGCTGCGGTGTCCACAATGCATGCTCTCTACTCCAGGCTAACTGCAGACGACAGTGAGTTGCAGTAAGTGGAACGCATCTGACAGGTCTACGAGCATATAGACCAAGCTGCCCTAAGCATCTGTACACGGTCTGCCTTGAAATTGACGTACCAGTGGCTGAAGAGAGCTGACGAGACAGGTCTGAGGCTGTGCTCCGCCTGTTTCTTTTGGCAGTAACTGCCAAATACCGGTCCTCATTCGGCGTTGTAACTCTGGGGCGACCTGTGCTGTAACGTCTACTCACATTACCATCATCTTGGAATCGTTGCCCAACCCTGGAGATGACACTCTGGGCAATTCCAAGTTCATCTGATACTTCCAGTTGGGTACGCCCACATTCCAGACGGCTGATAATTCTACCACGTAAAAAATCATCCAAATGCGTTCTTTGTGTCATAACTATTCGGTTATTGCACTGAAATGCTTATAAAGCGCGTCGAACAATTTTGCTTCTTTGCCTGTATTCCTTATATATCACTCTCTTACACTCTCGTCATTGTGACGTACTATCGGTGTCATCTGGTTACTTCCTGAAATTTGCATATTATTCTTGAAGATGTGTGTAGTGATTTTACAGGTGATATATTCATTTTAGAGTTCGATTTCCGCGTGACTCCGAATTATCCTTAATTTATGGACATGAGTGTGCATTAAAATATAATCCAAAATTTTTCAGTTTTAGTATTTAAGACTTTTATAGCCATGGGAACATATTGGATTTTTAGTAAAATTGAGAAACCGTAAGTGATACTTAACATGAAGCTCTGAACAAGTGTTCGAGGAAAAAAATTATCATGATGTGATACAAAGCTTTGAATGAACTTCAATTTGGTATTTAAAACTCGTATATTAGATTTTGACTACATATGATAACCCGGAAGTGGGATTTTAGTTGGAACTCTTAACAGATTTTCGTAAAAAATATAGAATTAATACAAAAAGTGTCTGATGAAAAGGTTTATCGAATTACGCCTCCAGTTGACTGCCTAAATTTTTACACTATTCTATTTTTTAAATTATGTTATTTTTAATACAAATTATTTTTTTAGTTAAATTATTATACCGAAAGGACTTGTAGTCTCCCAAATACGATTTTGCGTTGTTTCACTTGGAATGCCTAGTTTCACTTTTCGTTAGAGTCTGTTGCCATTCGGAGAAACGTACGATATTCTTCTTTCAAACGTAATCTTTCTGTTAATGATTAACAAACTAAACTATTTAAAAGCAATAAACACAGAGAATATTATTTTTTTCATGTTTTAGTCGGATTGATTAACATAAAAATGCATTTAATGAGATATATTCCGATGAGCTCAGAGATCACGTGACTCGTGTATAGCTAATGTAAACAAACGAGGTCATTCTTCCTCTTCTTCTCTTGCGGAATTTATCTCCTTCATAAAATATCTAATTAAAAATATTAAATATTTTTATAGAATTGCGTAATCTACTTTTTAGTTTTCTGAACATACACAAAATATAAAGCATTCATGTTAATCTAGATATATATTCATTTTATATATTACAAAATGTTTTACTATTCCTCGTGAGTCACTCTACTAATAAACAATATTACACTTTAAAAGATTTATATTGTTTCTCTTTTGGGTGACCGTTAAAAATCTGAACCATTTCAGACATTTTAATACTATTTTATTTTAACATTATTTATTATACTGCCGCAAATTTATAATACAAAGTTTAATTTCCTTTAATCCAAAAGCAATTAAATTATATATTATTCAATTATCTAATAAAATATTATTTTTATTACAAAAATAAAGGGGCAAGCATTTGATTAAGCTAGTTTAAATTAAGAAAAACCAATTTTTAACTCATGTCCAATTATACCTAATAAAATATGCTTGTGCTCAAAAAATAAGCAACAAACGCTAAAAAAAAGGCATGAATGTAAGAGGGGGAATTAAAACATACAATTTACAATGACGCAAAGGTTGCATCGCCGAATGCAAATAAGCAACCAAAATTAGCATCAAACGCAATTCCGCAATCACACCACAACACCTTAAAAAGGGGCATTCCCGACCTATTCGTCAGTTAGCAAGCAGCGATAGTTCCGTGTTATCCGAAATAGCCAAAGCAGCCACAGCAGATAAGCCGAAGACAACATTTGCCCGATAAAATGCGTTGGAGGTCTGTCGGGATGTTGCAAGCTGGTGCAAAACATCCGCTGCTGCGAAAGAGTTAAATGTGCCTCGTAGTGGTCACCAATATGCTGCGGAATCGTTATCAAAGAGATAAGAACCCCTGTAGAAGACATGCCGAAGGATTGCACAACGGCAGACGATTGCCTCCTCTGTAGATCACTAACATCACGACAGCTGGTATCACATCTCTCTGCTGCTGCAGGACGGTCCATAGTCCCCAAAACTGTATCATGTCGACTACATGAAGTTGGGCTGCAATTACCTGTGGTTTGTGTTCCTTTGTCCTCATCGCATAACAGTTCGCGGATCAACTGGGACCGTGAACATCGCAGTTGGACATTAGAACAGTGGGGCTATGTTCTCTGTACGGATGAGTCTCGAATAAACATCCAGTGGAGACCATCACAGAGGAGTCTTACTTGTATGAGCTGGGATAGCAACGAACGGTCGTCCCGACCTCTACGTGATTCCTGGCAGTTCCAAGATAGCCGTCCGAAATCGCGACAAAATTCTACACCCTTTGTGTCCTTTTATCGGTGCAATGGGTAACGACGCGATATTTATAAACGATATACGCCCGTCTGCACAGAGTTCGAGTGGTAGTACGGAGTCATCCAGGAACCTGAATTCCATACAGCAAGCGTGGGATATGTTGAGATAACAGACAGCAGATCGCAGTGTGCCGCCATGCAACCTCCATGAGCTTCGACATGCATTGCTACTGCGACAACAAACGATTAACGACACTCTTGCCAGCTTGCCTCGCGGTTGTCAAGTATTAATTTCAGCTAGAAGGTATCATACCCGTTATTAGCGTTGATTGCATATTTTCCCCCACGCGTTTGGTCTTTCGCTGATGTGATGGGTGTAATGTATGTGTTTTTCCCGTATGCTTATGTTTTATTGTTTGCTATGTAGTCTATTAATGCCATACCAACTTCTTAGATCAATTTCCCGCATATCCATTAAAATACATTTTGTTTTATTTCGTGTTTTACCTTTATTGCTTATCTTTTTAGTACACGTGTATAATCGAAAATATTGTAATATAGACCTTTCTATATTTATTGGAACAATCAACTAGTTTTAGTTCTCAAACAATCAACCGGAAGTAATACTTTACTTGAAACTCATTGTTATTTGTACTAAATTTTGAAACATAGACTTCATTTTTTTCTAATGCATTATCCTCTGTTTTAAACCTTGATTGTTGTAAAATAAATATTATCAAAGTATTCTATGTAATAAAATAATTTATTCAAAAAATCTTACTCCGTAACTCACATAATAATTCGGACACTCCAAATTTTGTTGAAAAATTTTGGCAGACAATGTTTCTAGTTTTTGTTTTATATCGCATCGCAAGAATTATCGTCTGCATTTGAAAATTGTTATTTGCTCGATAAAATATAATAACAGCTTTTATATCTGAAATGAACATGGCAAGACGCTAAAAATTAACCACCAATTCTGTTGGAAATTTAATAATTCATCTTTTCAAATACAGTCAAATTATTCTAATATCGAAAAAAAAATTCTTGATGTAAAGTGTTTAATTGTCTCAGGTGTGATAAAACGACAGAAAATGCATGGAACTGTTGAAAATGCATTGGAGTCTGGACCACATTTCAAGCTAACACCAAGAAATCGCAGAATTTTTGTATGAAAAATTAAACAAGACCCAAAAATGAGTGTTGTAAAACTTACAGCGTATATAAAAGAGTAGTTTTCAATTAAATTTAAACATGAAGCTATTAAAAAAATTCACAAAGACACACAGAAACAATGAGGAGGAAATTGTTCCTCAACAAGAAAACAAGGAAAATACGCCTGGCGTTCGCAAAATCCACGGTAAGCAAAGATTTCTCATATTGGAACAATGTTATATTTTCAGAAAAGTGAAAATTTAATATATTTGCGTACTATTGATGAATGAATGGGTGGCAAAATCCAAATTAAGAGTCGAATTCGAAAAATCTATTGTCTAATTTTACACAAAGGGGTACAGGCATAATGGTTTGGGAATGCTTCGCTGCTTTTAGAATTAAAAAAATTTAGTGTTTATCAAAAATAATACGGATTAGTAAAAATGTATAACTATTCTTAATGAAAACTTGAAAGCGTCGGCAAGGAAACTTAGAATGGAACTACATTCAAGTTCTATCAGAATAATTATACAGCCTTAAATTTTCACTTGTGGTTCGAATACTTGGAACACAGCTGTCCTGAAGTTATCAAAACACTTTCAGATTCTCGAACTTAAATCATGTGGAACGATTATGGAGTGGGTTGGGGAAAAGAATAAAAAAATAAAAAAATCATTCTTCTTCGATAGCTCTGCTAAAAACAATTCTTACGTAGTAATAGAATATTTTTGCAGGGGGGGGGAGGGGAAGTTGAAGAGCATGAAAAATGTAGTCTTAGCTAAACGACATCGAACGAAATCCTGAATGTTCCGTTATTTTTATGTTTTTTCATTAAATATAAAATGTTTATACAAAGTGTCCGAAATTTACGTGAATTCATTTTTAGAACGTTTTGAATAAATAATTTTTTTAGCAAAAATGTTTTAAATAACATTTTTCGAAAACAAGCAAGTTTTAAAATATATGATCAAATAGGTTATATGGAAGAAAATAAAATCATTTTGCTAATATTTAGTAACTGATATTTGCAAATAAGACGGGAAAACACAAATGTCTTAAAACAAATGACAGCCACTGTAATATGTACACAAAGGTCTCTTCGTGAAGATGGGTTTCTTACCTTACGTCAAGAAATTCCAAACTTGCCATTGGAGTGTTAAAAAGATTATCCAGTCTTTCAATAATATTGTGAGATAAATCCAAGTATTTAAGTTTCGGAAGGTTTCTAAAAACTTTTGGGTCCACTTTGTATATTTTATTATTGCTCAAATTCAAGAGAAGTAGCTCCCTCATGGCTAACGGAAACAGCTCAGAACCCAAAGTACTCAGCTTCCCTCCAGTGAATTCGAAATGGCTAAGCTTGCTAAGGCAATTGGTCCATGAATATTTATCCCCTCTTCCAGTGTCACACAACGAACAAATCTTTTCTGTGTTAGAGCTATTCACAGCTATAAACCTGGAAAATAAAATATTAAGAAAAGATTATTTCGTTTACAGTTGGTGCTTAAAGTTCTTAAGATATAACGCCCTGAACTATGTCTGAAGAAGTATTACATAATTATACAGACAAAGAATAATAGTCTTTACAAAATAGCACTTCTTTGACAAACATTATGAAAATGTCTACAGAATTCACCTCCCTCAAAAAAAATTTTTAAAATTTTTTTTTTTTTTTAAATTAAAAAAAAAAAAAAAAAAATCCGATGTTAAACTTCTTTAGAATCCTTTAGAACTATGGTTCAGTTTTCTGTAATGCAAATCAGAGATCTATCGCACTCCATAAAATTTCGCAGAGGGCGTTTAGATTATTAGAATGATTCCGATAAAAAATTACTAAAAAACGTTCTGGAATAAAAAGTGCAAAATAAGAGAAATTTTTATTCGGAAAGGAAAAAAAAAAGTCAATCATTACTCATACATGGAAAGAAAACTCAAAGAAATTCCTGAAAAAGGTAGGTACTGCTTCTAATGTTTCTGAAGTTAAATTGTTAAGAAGAAAAAAAAAAAAGCCGATGAAGAAATCAGTTGCAGATTCTTTGAATACATGCGTAGCAACAATAAATAAAATAATAAACTAAGATTTACAACTTTAAAAAAAAGTTTAAAAAACGCGATGTTCACCAGACCAGGCCTGTTGCTCGACGCAGAACAGTTTGTAGAACCCTTTATGGAAAACTATTTAGCAGGGCATTAATGGAAAAACATTGTAACTCATTGGATGAAGCATGAAAGTTAAATGACTGGAAGAAAAAAAAAAGTCTATTTATTACCGAAAAGGAATATAAAAAAAAGTGAAAACGAAGATCTGTCAGTGCAAAGAAAGTTTCAGTAAGAAGTTTATTATGATTGTCGCAGCAGGATTCTCTTACATTGAGAAATTAAAAATTTACAGAGCCCGATATTTACAGAAAAAAATTCCATTTTTTTTTCCCTTACCCCAATTACTTTTAAAGAGCGATACTTTATCAAGAAAAAGCAACAAGTTATGCTTTGAAAAGTACCACTGCATTCTTTGAAAAAATGAAGACTGATACAGTTACTGCATATATAGCTTTTCAATGTGTTCCTGCGAAGTCTAATGGCATTTCATCTTTTCTTTGGTCTTTAGAAAAAGAGCTCTTTCTAAGCGCAAACCCAACACGATGGACGGACCCTGGAGAGTAGGGCAAGAGGAATGGAAACCATTACCCTTGGAAATTTTACGAAAAATTCTTCTATCATAGATATCACAATGTAGATTTATAATTCGGAACATTGGCTATCCTATCGAACATTTAAAAAATACTCTATACATTTTAAACATTTATTAAACGGCCCCGAAATCATTCTAAAAATGTTAAACACCCTCTGTATATTACGCTAGCTTTCCTTTATTATGTAGTATTACATTGAAATTCTGCAAACCATTGAAACTTAAACCTTAAATTTGCAAAATATTGTAGAACAAGTGGCATTCTTCAACTCAATTTCTGTATTTAAAAATTACTTACTTCGTCATCTTGCTGTTCCTGCAGGTTAGAGTTGATTGGCATGCAAAGCAAGATGATAAAGTGGTGTCCACAATTTTCATTTCTTTGATCCTTAGAAAAGTGATCCAGTCCAGGGGTAGAACTTGTTTTCGTTCTCCTTCGGCTCCAAGCCGGTGTGCTTCCCAGAAAGAATCATACAAGTAGAATTCGTCAATCTCCATTGTCTTCAAGGAAGGAACAATGGTTGAAAACGAATCTGTATTTGACAACCCTTGACATGATACAATGATGTGCAACAGTTTTTTTCCTTGTGGAACATTGAAACAAGTACATGGATAGATGCTTTCTCTTGGTGGGCAAGAAGTACCACTGAAAACTGCTCCGACACAAAATATTGAGATCGTAAGAATAAGTAGCATGATGATAGGTAATCTGTAGGTAAAATAAATAAATAAATACATATTTATTTATTCATTAAAAGCAATGGACGAACTTAGATCTACAAGGTTGTTAACATTCTGCTTGTATTCATGCTTAAACCAATGTCCTTCAGACTCTACTAGTCTGACAAGGAAGTTATCGCTCTAGTCTGTATTAAGATCACAAAGTTAAATAAAGCACGAAGGTTAAAATAACTTTTTTAACAATTGTATCTTAAAAGACCCTACTGTTCTAAAGAACGAACCCAGGCACTTGCTTATATATAAATTAACATAACTTTAAAATTCCAATAACGTAGTGTAAGTGTACACAGAACGATCTACTTAAGCTGGATAACAGCGTGTTTCTAAAGCCGGAATAAACTTTGGCAAAGCTAGCGATAGTACGTAACTGCAAGAAGGTAAAAGTTTTAACTCTAAAACATTCAAATTCTTGTCTTAAATACTCTAAAAAATAATTTGTATTCTGGTGAGGACAACGGAAAGAAAAGAAATAAAGTTCAAATTATAATAATTGGTTAATTAACATAACACCTTGCAGTTCTTATTAAGCAGTTGTGAAGACTGAGGATGAAGTATCCAAAGAAAACATAAATAAGAACGAAAGTGGAAAGATAAATACGAGTACACAAAAGATGGTATTAAGAAAATGAAGAAATCTTAAAGAGTGATTGCCAAAATCCCACTTAATCTTAAGAAGCCAATCTGAGTAAAAAAAACACAACAAAATTGAAATAATTTCAGCAAAGTTGCAACCTCCCTTGGGAGAAACTTCTTAAAGTAATCAGTTCATTGTTGCGAGGAATGATAAAAAAGTAACGCACTATTTCTCTCCAAAGCATTGAATAGATCAGGTGCTCCCAATCGAGTAGGTATTGAACCTCTTGAAGGCTGATGAAATTCTAAAAAGAATCAATGATGATCAAGAGATTGACTGTAGGTCGACAGTCGAATATACACGGGCAAACTGATCGGCATAATGAAGATAACATTGATGAAAAACCATTACTATTGCAAAATTGACAACAAATTGTTTACTGATAAAGCTATATCGTCTAATAAGGAAGAAATCGTATAAAATATATAAGAGAGAAAATGCACAAATATTATTTTCTATATTTTTTAAATTGATAATACACATTTTTTATGCAGAATGTGCCATGTAAAAAAGTAAAACTTAGAAGCACAAGAAAACACAACCACAAAAGGTATGAAGAATGCAAAATTTCTTCAGAAGATATATTGTTATATACACGCCACTTGCAAAATTTAAAAGAAAAGTTTAATGTTCCCTTCTAAGATACTGAAAATTTGAATGCCCGAGCATGGCATAGAGAAGTGATATATCTGATCTTCATATTGTGATGCGAGGGAACTTGATTGCTTTAAAAGAGGATATTGAAGCACAAGTCTAATTCAAACCAAATCTCTGTGCCAAGTTTGTAGAGACATTCGGTTATTTCGAAGTAGGAGAGATGAAAAATGAGCAAGGCCTTCGCCAGGACTCGAACCACGGGCCTCTCGAAATATGCGCCGAGCGTGCTGACCACTACATTAGGAAGGCATGCTAAGAAAACGGGAGAAATACGTTATAAGTTTTGGAATTTAAAGGTCATCCCAGAGAAATATCTTAAAATAAAAGTTGTTACCGTATACCATTATCGACTTTTCCGTCTTCTTACCAAGTAGAAGCAGGCTTTAATCAAATATAATACTACAGAATTACTACGGAACATAAGAAATATGTAGAATATTTTGGAACGAAGTAATTTAAACGTTAAATTAAGTAATTTTATGCCGAATATTAAAAGAAATGCACCAATACATCAAGCGCAACCATTCCATTAATTAAAACTGAACTTTTGTTTCCTTGTTTTAAACGTAAGTTCATCTCACCCACTCATAAGAAACAACAGAAAAAAAGTTTAAAAAAATCTGAAAGCTTTCAGATTTTATAGACTTTTTTTTTAACGTTTAGTGTGCTACCTTTATTTATTAAATATCATGTTCTTTGCACTTGAACCATAAAGTTCAATTCAATGGCATATCGCAAAATAATTTTTAAAATGTGAGCATATGTTTAGATTTTCCGGTGCAGAGTCTCGTGCGTTGGAGATAATCCTCCCCCCGTACAGTGCTGTAATTGCTCGCTTTGAAATCACTGAGATTGTTAATAAAAAATTCGTTAAAGTGTTACAAAATATGAATTCGATAATAAAACAAATTCCAAATTTGGGCTTCTGGATGCCAATATTCGTAGGAGAATTACGTTATTCAAAATTCGATGGCTCTAGGTACCGTCGTTTTATCACAATGCGAGAAACATACATACATTTACGCCGATTCTTCATTATTTAATTTCTTTGAATATAACACAGGGGGATAATATTTGATGGCAACAATTTGAAAAGTGAAACAGACATTTAAAATTTTCGACGCAAAATGCCAAAACGAAATTAATAGCCCTTCTGGGCTGAAACAGTCTGAAATGGCTCAGATTTTAACGGTTCCCCAAAAGGGTCTGAAAAGGTTTTCGAAGCTCTCGCTGCGTTTGCACTGTACCAGCCCACCCTTGCACTCACTGCTGGTAATCCCCCCTTTTTGTGTGTGCGTGTGTATCTTCTTAGATTTATTATTAAATTTATTCTTAGATCATTATTAAGTATCGTTTTCTCCGCCCTTACACCACACATAACTCAACAGCAAAAATTACAAAATATTTGAAAACAGCATACGTTTAGAGTTCTCCATGCAGTGTGAAGCGTCGCTAACACATTTTTCTTTTTCTTTTTTTTTTTTTTTTTTTTTTTTTTTTTTTTTTTTTTCCAGCCTTTTCTCAGTTTATCGAATTAATGTTCGGTTTTCTTAGCACGATGGCTAGCGAAACCTTTTTCTTGTTTTTTAGTTATTAACATTTTGTGTGTTAACTTTATTTATTAAATATCACGTTCTTCGCACTTACATCCATGAAATTTCATTTAACAGCAGAATCCCAAAATATTTAAAAAACAGCATATCTTTAGAATTTCTGATAGGCAGTCTGGCGCGCTGGAGATAAAAATGTTTTCTTCTGTGCAGTATCGCTACTGTTCGCTTTCAGATCGTTGAGTTTGTTTATCATAAATTCTTTAACGTTTTAAAAAATATGAAATAAATGATGAAAAATATGTAACGTCATTCTATGAAAACACTGAATACTTTTAATTACATAGATCCTAAACTAAATGCATTTTTTATTATCTAAATCAATCCGATTCATATACATATTTCTGAGTAATTTAAAATTCCCATTTCTTTATCGATGAGACAGCTAATCTACGCGTTCACAAATTACACGAAGCAAAAATGCGTCAACACGTGAACCAGGTGTCTTGCAAACTGAGAAGTGTGAAATATTTTTTAGAAACATTCTGGAAACGTTTCTTTTTTTCTTTTTTTTCATTTGAATACTAGTGATCAAAGATACCTTTGTCTAACATTCTTTTATATGGATCAGTGTTATGTCATTTGCTTTTGTAACATTTAGTATGTGAAGGGCAACTTCAGAGCATTTTGCTAGCCATAGTACATCTCTTTTGGAAAGATTTGAAATTGTTTAAAAGTCTCTGTTACTAAATAATGAAAAATCTGTACGTATGTATGTACGTACAGAGTGGCCATAAAAAATCTCCTTTACAACAATAGAGCTCTTACGCTTACAGTGAGAAAATTTCAGTCTTTTCGAATGGCAACACTGACTTTTTTCCTGTCAAAATTGATCGTCGTACTGAAAAGCCATAAATAGAGTTGGAAGATGCCCGTGTGACGAAAACTCCTGGTGTAGAACATTTGCGAAGAAGAACATTGTAAACGATCGATCCAAGCGCGCCTTATCAATTCCAGCGTGTTCAGATGTTGCAACTTAGAGAAGAGCAACAGCGTGTGCGAACTTTTTGCTCATCGATATGATGGAGATAGAAGGTGGCTCTTGCTAATATTATGAACGGGTGAGGCACAGTTTTCTTTTACTGGGGACGTAAACTCCGAGAAACTGCTTTTACTGGACTAACGAAATTCCGCACGATGTGCACCAGTGTCTTTACACGAAAAGTGACAGTGTGGTACGGCATCGCAAGCACATTCGTTCTCGGTCTGTACTTCTTCGACGCGGTGACTTCCACAGATATGAAAACGTTCTCCATCGAAAGTGCTCGGTATGCAACAACGCGGCAGAATCGCTTAATTTCAGAACTGCAGCGAAATGTCGTTATAATGACATTCTATGGATGCAAGATGGTGCTTCTCCACACATCGCCGAATACATTCGGCAAGTGCTGCGACGTCAATTTGGAGACCGAGTCATCTTTCGTAACTTTGCAGTTTCGTGGCCCCCCACAATCCCCTCAACCTCACTCCAATGCATTTATGGTTCTGGGTTATCTGAAATCTAAGATGTACAAATCAAATCCAAGAGATTTGTGAAAATTGAAAGATGCCGTAAAACGAGAAGTTATACAGATTCCTCCTACGATGACGTTCGTCATTGTTGTCAATAATCTCCCGCATGCACAGCGTTATCATTTGCGAAGGTTGGTGTGTTGAAAATTTGCAATTCCAATAAAAGTTTTTCCCTCCTCTTTTGTTGTCATTGGTCATTCACAATGAATGCCTTTCTTTGCAAATACCTTTTACGCCGTCAATTTTTGTCACACGTGTATTGTTTTAACGCTACTTATAGTTTTTCAATGCGCTGATCAATTCGCACAGGGAATGACGATCGTTGTTCGTTATTGTTCTTATTTGTAGGTTTCTGCTGTACTAACCATAATAAAACATGTTTTGTCTCGCTGTTTGTGTCATTTCTTTCTTGACTTCTGTGTCGTCACTACCGCCCCAGGAAAGCGTTTCCGATTATGCATTCCTAAGTGATTTCCCACCATCTAGGTGTATTCTATTTCTTCTGAAAGTTTGTTAATGCTGTACTGATACACCCTGTATATATATATATATTTT